GTGCTAATAGTACATAGACCTTTATCCACGTCCCATAGCGTGGAAGTCTCTGAGAGGTACAACACTGGAGTGTTGATCATGGCCTCGTCGTCTTTCACTTTGCCGTGCTTGAAGTAGTTCTCCAAGTGCCAAAGGAAGTTTTTCACTTCTTGTGCATCACGAACACCTTTGAACATCGGGGGTTTGGGAGCCTCGATCTTGGCCTCCCTCGTCACCATAACATTGTTGGCTGCCTCGGTCACGCCAGCACTAACATGCTCCTCGAGTGACTCTATCTTTGCCTTCATAGCATCGATAGTACTCAAAGGCTCCATGAGTCTGCACTCTAAGGCAGTGATAGTTTGCCTTAGTTCCATCTCAATCTGTGTACGTCCCTCCAAGTCATTTCGGATGCTCTCAATCTCTTCAAGAGTGTGCCCCTCAAGAATGCTAAGGGTGCCTTCCACCTTCCCCAAGCGTTGGCCAAAGATCTCCACGGCGTCCATCCCCGCGTTCATCTTCATCACCCACTCTTTACCGAGTGAGACGTCCTCGGGCAGGACCTCCACTTCATCCTCGCTCGCCTCAGTGGCAGATGGTTCTTGGGATGTAAGTCCTTCGTTTGACACAACCTCGGGTGGAACCTCCTGGCCCTTGTTGGTGGTATTTCTCTTTTTGTTAAGGCTGCTCTTGCCAGCAATATCCTGGATGATGTTGGCTTGGGTGTTGGTAGCGTTAATTTCTCCGTCGTTCGCCATTTCCTTAGTTGCAACCTTTGCTCTGATACCACGTTGTCACGTCCTTAGTCGTTAACTAAGTACACGTGCGGCCCTTGACAATTTGCTCACGCTCTTGCTATGCCAAGTCAGCCTTACTACACTCAAGATCGCTAAGAGAATGGTAGAAAAAACACAAGAGAATTGTTAAAGGAAGCTTTATATTAGAGAGAACTTGAATTGTTTGCTTGGTGAAATACAAATGAATGGCCCCTTTATATACTAGTCTCCTAGGGTCTAGTATGTAATTATTAATTATTACACAAGTCCTTAATATTTACAACATAAGGGCATTCTCTAGAATTCTCTACAAGCCTAGAAGATTCCAAGGACTTTCCTAGCAAATCCATAAAAATCTAGGGTCTTCCAAAGGAAATATTCATACTTCTCTAGAATCTTCTCACAAATGCAAGTCTTCCTCCTATGTAAGCTTACACATGGCATTAATATATGCCAAATGGCGCCTATGTGGCATGATGACATGGCGAGTCATCACATTATGTCCTGGAGCCCACTTAAGATGTAGGCAAGTTCCAGGGAGTATCTTAACATGCTTTGGAGACCTTTGTTGGATACAGTGGTTGACTTGGGTAGCAAATATATGAAGATTGAGAGACTACAAATATGATATCAGGATTGGGGTAGATGGATAATGTGTATCCTGACGGCTATATTATAAGTTAAGAAATTATAAAAATGGAAAGGAAAAAGTGTTGAGATGTACGTAGTCTAGTCAGTAATGATGGTATTACATTCCAAAGTTAGGTTTAGTTTGCTTGCGAATAACATTCTTGACAGTCATTTTGTATGTGACATTTCATGACCACTTAATCCTTCAAAATAATAATACTAAAAATAAAAAAAATTCTAGTACAAGATTACGAAGTCTTGTAGTTAGAGGCGGATCCAAGATATGATGGCTACGTATGCCACTCTGGGACGGATGCACATTTATCGAAGTAGTGTCACGCGATATCGATTCGTCAATTTATTTTTTACTAATGTATTAATACTGGGTGGAAGCGGATAAGTAGGAAAAAATAAAATCAATTGACATAAATTATCTCTTGGCGCATTGATTATGTGCTTGATTTTGCTCTAAGAGGTCAGAATTTCAAACCTTAACTAGCACATCTTGTTTTGCAAATATTTGAGAGAATCTATGTAGTTAAAAAATGTGATGAAGTAGAATTTAATTCAATACTTTTTCTAACTTAAGACTCAACAAAACCAATAGACTAAAGCTATTTCTTATCTAGAAGTATGATAACTAAAGTTACTATTCCGATTCTTCTATAAATTTCGACAATGCTTACAAAAATTTCTGTGTACGCCCCTGGTGCCATTGCTTTTAATGCAAACCGACCATAGTGAAGAGATTGAACTTGGATGCATATTTAGTCAGTTCGATACATTTTTTATTAATTCGGTTTGATTCGGTCCAATTTGAATTAATTTAATTCAAATTAAAAGATTGTTTTATGCATAAATAAATATGTTATCACAAAATCGAATAGGTTCTGTCCAATTCGGTCTAGTTCTCTGGATTCAAATTTGATTAATATGATTAAAATATATATAGTAAAATAAAATTTTAAACTAGGAAATATACCACTTCAATCTACATATAGCTCGATTAATATTAAGTCTTTGATGCATGACTCTAATTTCTAAAAGTAATAAAACTACATTAGATGGATAAAAAGAGGAAATCACATTCAAATAAATTTGAAGATCTAGAAAAAGAAAAAGGAAGAAAATATACAATTTAAATAAATAATAAAAAAAGATTGTACAAATAAAGTGAATAACAAAGGTGAAAAAATTAAAACAATTTAAAAGGAGCACAAGGAAAAGAAAGGGGAGGGAAAAAAGACAAGTAACAAAACAAATAACAAGGACCGCAACAGAGTCTTGATCCTGGACATTTTATGTGGAGTTCTAGTGCTTTAACCGTGGCACCTGTAGTCATTTTGTGACTTGGAGTGCCGTGTTATATATGTTAATATTTTGAGAAAAATACCAGTACATATATACGATTTTACTCGAGCGACCGGGTGGCGTACCACCCCCCAATTCCCTACATAGATCCGCCCCGGCTGGTAGTTGAGTATCAATTGATACTTCCTGAGTTCAAGCTGGTGTAGAGTAGTATTACACTCACGACTTAAGTGTTACTTATTATAAATATATATTTTAGCAGAAAGCAACTACGATATATATACAATTCAAACCAAAAGATAATAGATCATTCAAGATCGTCTTTTTAATATACTTCTTGCTCTGACGCCAAGCTACCACATGTATTCAAGGGATATCAGCTGATTTCGGCTTATTTGTGAGTTTACTACTTTATAGGTTTGATCTTCATATTCCGAGTCACACGTTCAAGGATGGACATATACGTTGCCCCCTTCCAACCTGCAAGATGGATGAGTAAGGAAGGAATTTAAGTGTTTAATGGGTTAGGTATCGGATTGAACATTGAAGTAGTCCATGAAAATGGACATCCATGTTCACTTTGTAATTTGGAGACTTTTACCAAGTCTTTTCTCCTGGTTTCACTATATATATTTTGATTAGAGAAAGGGTAATGTTGGTCAAGGAGTCAATACAATTTATATCAAAATCTTGGACAGGGGATTTGTATTTTGGAAGTCCTTTCTTTCCATCATGTCCCCTTGAAAGAGGGTTTTTAGACCTTAGAGAGATCTTTGATTGCTTGTGAACAAACTATACTTAATTTCTACGTGGAATTTTGTGTGTAAAATCGCATTAATTGCATTTCCCAATAAGTTTGTGCCATCTCAATTTTTTTTCCCGTACATGTATTTAGGGTATTAATAAAAGTTTGATTTGCTAATAAATTTAATCATTGTTTGATATGGTTAAGTAGTTCACAACTTAACATTCCCTTTAGAGGCTAAAATATTTTGAAAAACATGAAAGAAAGAAGAAGATAGAATGAGGGAAAAGGTTTTGCTAAATCATGATTACCACCACACAAAAAAAATTGAAAAACTTATTTCTTGACAGATTTGGATGGTCCCTTTTGGTTATTACAGTACTAGTAGTTATTTTCATTTAACAAAATCATTCATTTCATCACACATTTGTTTAACGTATTAGCAAAAGGACTACATGAAAAAGTTACCATCTGCTTCTACATTTCATTATTTCAAATTAAAATTTCTACCTTCAGCCATCCCCTACAAGGCAACTCTTTTCATTTTTTTTTATTTTTTTATTTTTTTGCTTTAAAATGAAGGAACGTTTTTAATCAACATTCTAAAACGTACTACCTCCATCGCAAATATTAGTTATTATAGAAAACTGAATTTGTTTGAAATTACTTAAATTTTTCAAAACTATTTCTTTTCAGATATATTCTTATTGTTTCAACTAGTCGAGTATTAATTAATTGAAAGGACTAACGAGAGAGAAATCATAATTTAGACAAATATATCTATGATGAGATCTATTATGTCTTTCTATAAACCAAGGAATACAATCCCCCTTTGTTTTCTCTCATCCTAATTGAGTTTCCATAATTAACCTCTTCCTCTCTTATTATATACTAGTATTAAAACCCGCGTGATGCGCGGATGGTACTTCTGAATATTAGTATGATAATATTGTTCTTATCAAATAATCAGAAAAGAAAAATAAATTATTAAAATAATATTATAGATGAGAAGCAGAATGTATGAGATATTAAAATCCATATAACATGGAAATGTCAGTTATACATAGAACCTTACATCCAATAACTACTAAGCTCGAGTTAATCAAGCTCAAATCTTCTAAAGGAAGACTCCTCCAACTACATTCATGCATGATATCAAACTTCTTACCTCTCTGAGTAAGCATCAGGATTGAGAGTATATCCAAAAGGTATATAATAAGATAAATTTTTTCAGTGTAGATAATGAGGTCTACCTTAAATTAACCGTAAACTTTCTTCTATGGCTGTAGCTGTGTGTCCAATTCATTATTAGCTTCACTGGGACAAAGTGGTGTGCGACTCTATTTTGCTCATGACATTAAGTTTGTGGACTACTTTGCAGGTGAAACATATCAACAAACAGGCATGTTCTTAGATTCTTTATTTTGTTCTTTCTCTTCCTTTTTTATTTTATTTTTTATGACGATGTTGTCGGGCCAACTTGTGCGCACCTCGAATATTGCATCAGGTACAAGCTACTTTCCACCAGCACAGTTACCGGATAACTAGTGCAGCAGCAGTCACAATTTAAGACTTATATAATTAATAGTAGTATCAATCAATCCAAACATCAGTGTCCTCTGCGTCATAAAAACTAATAAACAAATATCGGTATTTCCATTAAACTACTTTACATACTATATCCAAGTAACTTTTGAACAAAGATCCATTCAATAACAGGAATGGCTGAGCGTGAAGGTTACGATGGTTTTAATCATATTGTAGATCATAAAGGCAACGTCAGCGGATGTTCAAGCATTAAACCACCAGCAACTTTAAGTGTTATTCCCTCTTAAATCTGCACAATTGGACTAATAGTTAGTATTGCTGGTAAAGAACATTCCTTCCTCATTTAAAGGCACTGACATACTTACCAAGCTATCAATGACCTCATCAAGTATTTCATGGAAATAAACCTTGCAATTAAACACCAATTAAGTATTTTGGTTATAATTAGCATTAACAGAAGTTAACACAGATTGGTACTTCACGGTCGTTCTCCCCCGGAGAAACTATTGAATTAACTTTCTGTATATAGAGCCAGTACTTCTCAACCCCCCAATAGAAGGAAATGTAATCTGAATGAAATTGCAGTTATGAAGATACCTTGATATCCTCTACTGAGTTGCTGAACATGGTTTTGGCACAATTCAATTGTTCAATGCATAAGTAGTTATAGCTTGTTCTCTTTGTTCTGTTGGGTGCAAATTGTAAATAACTGATGATTCCACCATGTTTATCTATCATCTCAAACTAAATTACCGAAAACTTCTTTATACACCACATTTCTAGCTTCATTCGTTATTTGGCCATCATCATCATGAACTAAAATCTTCAACCCTTTTCTACTTGTCACGCGTGAAAGAGAAACATACAGTTGTCCATGAGTAAATACCGGCTTCTTCAAAAATAACCCCACATGAGACTGGCCTTGACTTTTATTAATTGTCATGGCAAAAGATACAACAATTGAAAATTGTCTTCGCTGGAACTTAAAAGGTATTCTTGCATCTGATGGAATCAATGTCATTCTCGGGATAAACACTTTTTGTCCAGCTATATTGCCAAATAAAACCTTGGCTTCAATAATCCGATTTCCAAGTCTTGTGATGATTAACCTCGTGCTATTACACAAACCTGACTGGTCAATGTTTCTCAACAACATCACAGGAACACTAAGCTGAAAAAGAATGATCAGACATACAAACTGTATCAGAACTCAAATATATCTTCTCAGGACTATAATTGAGTGAAACTATATATTCATTGATTGATTCCACCATATCAAGAGTCAGAGCAAGAATTGCTCTTTGCTGGAGGTAATCTATGTCACTGGAATGGCTAAAGAAATCTGGATATGTACTTTCAACAATTGTCGATATTGGATCATCACAATTACTTATGTGAGCATGAGGCAGCCCTCGTTTTTGGAACTCAACTTTATAAATCACTGCACCAAAAAGAATTTATTACACCTCATAAAAAGCTGGAATATTTATTTTAAAGCCTATTATCTTGTGTAACATAAAAAGTAATTATTATTTTTTAGAAGTTGAATTGTATACTTGCTTTTACTTTTCTAAAAATCTGATTGTCTCGTAAATCCTTTATCAAGCGGTCCAATTTGATTTTGAATACCCTAGATAAAATGTCTGGACGATCCTCATGATTTAAGCCCCTACTCTCTATAAATCTACGAATCTCAGGCCACTTTGGATTGCAAGTAAAGGTGATAAAAAGATCAGGGGCCATTTGCATATTGTCATAGCATCTTGATAGTTTTGAATCATGTATCGTGCACCCCTGTAAAGCTGGATGGTAGAATTATCCTTTTTCCTTGAGAAGAAGGATTAATTTCTCCATGCAAGACAGCATCTTGTAAGCCTTTATACATGTGACATCTCAACTTTTTTTTATCAAGCCTTTATACATGTACCAATGGGCAACACATAATATGTGAATGCCTGCCTTTCCAAAATAACACATAATGCAGATTTTATGTTAATTACTGTTCATATGACAATAATATTAGATATTTTATAGTTTAAGATCTCAAAAAATGTTCTCGCAAATGGAAAAAAAAAAAATCTTTAGAACAAACTACAAATGATTTCAAGTATATAGAAATTCTTTTCTACTTAAAAAAAAAGTATTTCGTTTAAGCTTTGGCGAACACTTCTTTACTTTGTTGATAGATAAACAAATTAAAAAAATGCATCTTTTCATTTTAGAATAAGTAATATATCTCCATCTAGACCATAAAAACTGAAATTGCAGTTGATTAAATACACGCATAACCTAATGATTTCCATAGTACAGATCAGAAGATGGAGATTGTAGTCGAATTACGGGGAAAAATAAATGCAACTTAAAAAGAATGCACCTTTTCATCTTGAATAATTAATTCAAGGGAGACCGTGTTGTTTCGTTTGTCGCGGTCTGGAACGTGCCACACTCTCAGTACTCGTGCCTTCAAATTCCAACTCATCTTGTTACTCGATATATCGCTGATACAGTCAAAGTTTGCCCTCATATTTTGCCCTAGAAAAAATTTAATCAAAGGATTGTTTGCACTGAAGTATATGCTCGGCGAAGCTATATATATATATATTATACTGAAGACAAACCCTAAGTAGTAATTAAAATCAAAAAAATTCAGTTGCTATATATATATATATATATATATATATATAAAGTATATAATATATATTCGCATAATCTTTTAACTTGCTATAAATAAAAAACAAAATAGTGTGTTTAGGGGCATTAACTTTATGGAAAAGAAATTTCCATAAAAAGAGCCGGAAAATGTGTGATTCAACCCATAAAATATAAGAGCAAATAGAAATTTGAATCCACGCAATTAATTTAGGGAAATTAACTTTAAGTAAAAGATATTTCCATAAAAAAGAACCGAAAAATTGTGTGATTCAGCCCATAAAATGTAAGTGCAAATAGAAATTTAAATTCCAAGTAACTAATTTAAGATTTATATCTAAAATTAAGGAGGAAAGTCATCTGCACAAACATACCTCGAATTGGATTTTGGTTGGAGATGATAAAATGTAATAGCTGCTGGGAAATTGTGAATCTTTTCCAAGTAAAAATCCATCAATTTTAGATAATAAACATTCCGATCTGAGGAGGTGTTAGCCCATTTATGATTTTGTAAACATACACTGTTTCTTGTTGTTGAGTTTCTTCTCATACCAAGTGATATAACACGGTTGGGAATTGGGAGAATTGGGAATGTTTTTAGGAAGAGATAGAGATAAGAAGGTATAGTTAATATGAAACACGGTACTTATTCTAAAATGTGGTGTTTATGTAAATTTTAGTATTTTTTAATTTATTTAGTTGACAAGAGGACCTTCCAACTAAGAGGTTGTGAATTTGAGTCACCCAAGAGCAAGGTGGGTAGTTATTGGAGGAAGGGAATTAAGGGTCTATCGGAAACAGCCTCTTCCCAGGGTAGGAGTTATTGGAGGGAGGGAATCGAGGGTCTATCGGAAACAGCCTCTTCCCAGGGTAGGAGTAAGGTATGTGTACACACTACACTCCTCTGAACCCATTAGTAGAATTATACTGGGTTGTTGTCGTTAGTTGAAAGCATATTAAGTAATGGAAATTTTCTAGAAAAGAAGCGATAAAAGTGAGATGATTGAGTATTAGAAAGCCGAAAAATCTGTGTATAACATCTATTTTAAATGAAATAACTTGTCAAGTGTCTTGTTTATAGGTTAGCCACTTGACATTTGGCTAAATTAGAAGGAAATTTTTCTTGCTTTAATATATAAATATAGATATAGATTCTCATTTTTCATTTACCAACCTGAACAACCGTTCTTTCCCTACCCAAGCAGCGTCGTTATTCCTTCCTATTCATCCATAATGAAGAGTCTTCTTACGTCCAGGCATAATTGCAAGTTGGCAGTTGTAGCCATAGTAATATTAATCTCGTTTTTGAATGGAAGAACTTCGTTCCTCAACTTATTTGGTTACAATAACATTAGTTCGGCACTAAGAGTTTGTTTGGTAATTCATATATATTTCGTTTATATGTTAATTTACAAGCTAAGCACAAAAAAATAAATTGAGGTAGAAGGAGTACTATGTAAAAAAAACTAGGAGACCAAACAATGTGTTTATAAGCCTGTAGCTGGATGCAAGCTCCTCAGACATGTACTATATGGTATTACAAAGACGGATGAAAGTTATAGTTCTTGAAGTTCAGTTTTAAAAACATCAAAATCGTTTGTTATTTGGAGCTTGGTATAAACAGTATGACTATTTTACCGAATGATGGCAGTGCCAGAGAAGGCTCAAGAATATTGGAGGCCTAAAGCTAAATTTTATTAAAAGGCTTTATTTAAAAACAAAGGCAGTTTATAGTTGCCATAGTAGGTATTCTGACAAAATAACAAAGGCAGTATTACTACTATAAGTTAAAAATAGAAAAAAAAAATTCAAATTTAAAGAAAAAAATACTAGAAATTGATAACTTGATATCAGAATAAAATTTTAATTATAATTTTACTACTATTATTAATTTTGAAAATGGGGCCTTAAAATTTTGAGGGCCTAAAGCCATTGCTTTATTGGCTTTGCCCTTGAGCCGATGCACTATATTATCGCAAATGAGTCAATTATTGAGGGCAAGGCCGGCGAAGCGTGCTCAAATAAGCATTTTTTATCGAAATATTATACTATGTTTGTGTCAAATATTACTTTTTATATACATTATATTTACTTTTGGATATCCTTAGTGAAATTCTGAATATACAACTATATAACAAAAAGGAAAACAATCAGTTAATTATAAGGAGCTTATTACAAAAATTGGTCAATTTATTAAATATTACTAATATTAGCCAAATGTAACAATATTAACCAATTAGCTATTTGTAGCCAAAAAAGTCGATTTGTTTGCTTTCTTTCGAATAGATTTGATACGTCTTAAGGACTTTGAATCTCAGTTTCGAGATGATTTGGCGGAGTTTTGAGGTAGTTTGAATAGAAAATTTGAAGTAGAAGATGAAACATGAAAAGAAAAAATGACATGTGTATCACATTGTATATTATTTGTGTATCACATATGTATCATATTTGCATCAAATGTGTATCACATGTATATCTATGTATACATGTGTGGGTGATATATGTGTGTCACATATTTGATACATGTGTCGTAGAAGAATTTTTTTACTTGATTTTAACTACGACATGGATATACATGTATGGGTGATATATGCGTGTTACATATTTGATACATGTGTAGTAGAAGATTTTTTTTACTTGATTTTAACTACGAATTTTGATACCAAATCAGACCAAATCACCTCCAATCTTTCTCTAAATTTATATATTGACTCATTTGTATGTTTTCAATGAATTTCTACCATACCAATAAAAAAAAAGTCATTTTGCTTAGATTTTTTGAATCTTATATATATATATATATTGTATTTTATCACTTTATATCTTGCATCTAATATTGTTGATCATGCTTAAAAATATTGAAGGAAATCTTTGCGTGTGATTCTTGGAGAGAAAGAACCTTAGTTATTTGAATTTTTTTAATTTTTATATGTGTTTTGCTAGTTTTGATAAACTATGATTAATGGCTAGAGATTGATAAATTGAAACTTATTTGGGACATTTACGTAAGATTCCCTAACAAAAATAAGTCAACTTTTGAAAGGACTATGAAATATAAGGACAAATATGCAAAAACTTCGATCAAATGTCCTAGAACTCAATATTGGGCTATTGTTTGGGCCATATGAGCCTAACTCCACTGGGCTATTCAGTTTCTGTGACCCAAACAAATGAATAGAGCATTTAGAGAAAATAGCATGGTATAACTACCTATAAAGAAAATTGGTATAAAAAATCTCTAGTTTTAGACATTCGCACCCTATAGCCCAACATTAAGGTTTTCTTATATTTAATTGGTATTTTATAGGCAAGATTATTTTTATGCAAAATCATAAGAAACCTACAGCACTCTCCCCTCTCTCCCTCTTAAAGTTATTGTTCTCTTTCTTCCCTAAATTTCACTCCATATTTTTTAGTCCCCCAAATTTCTCTCTTCTTCTCCGATAATTACTATATTAGGTTTGCTTTTGACCTATTTCTTGGTTAATTCTCTATATCTACAATCTTTTGTAGAATTTCCCAAAGCATATTACCATTCTTTTCAACTTGAAAGATTGGTAAAAATTCAACCTCTAAGAAATCAAAATCTAAAGCTCCATGTCAAATCGCCATCTCTTCATGAGATGATGACTCTGATTTTGAAGTTTCGGTGTTAGAAGGGTCGAATTCACCATATGCAATAAATATTCGACGTGATAATTCGGTTTCATTTCATTCAATAGTATCCGAAAAATCTCCGATTTTTTTCTAAATTATTTTTCTAGTTTTCTTTTATCTGTATATCCAAATATATACAACACGGTTTATATTATTTGTATATCATAGAGTTTAACAATATGTATATCAAAAAATATATCAAAATTTTATTTTCCTTCTTTGTATAATATATTTCAGATTGAAAACTCAAGTTTTAAGACGACTCCTCATGTGTATCCCCCATTGTATCCCGTGTATATCTCCATGTACATCGGTGATATCTCATGTATATCATGTGTATCTGTGTTATATACACAATATACGATATGATATATACAGGTGTCCATCAAATATTTTTGTTATATACATGATGTAAAAAGTGTACACATGCACGTCCATAAAAACCTATATATAATATACACTGATATACATAATATACAGTATGATATATACATATCGCAGTTGAATTTTTAGGTCTGATTTTTTTTTTATACCTAAAACCAGTTTAAATCAATTCTAATCTTGCTCAAATTTTGTATATAGCATCGTCTAGGTATTTTCAACCAATTTCAATCGCACCCACTCGTTCTATCCAACAACAAAAAAGAGAGAAGAAAAAGAGTATTGAACCCTATTTTTCCTCTTAGTTTTACTTCTGATTTTCTCTGATGTGAGATCAACCTTTAAAGAGATTTAAGAAATTTATTGCAGAGAAATTTTCTTTGTATTGATTTTGCGTATTCTATATAGTGTATAGTTATCCTTATATACAAGAGCCAAAGATGCCACTGACGAGGTAGACCCACTTTGTTATAACTAACTTATAACAAATACTAAATAAATAAATGTAAAAGAAATTATCTGCATAGTTCTATTACAAAATTATCCCCAATACATCTTTCCAGAAGTTCACAGTTGTATCCTTTTGATTAAGCCCGCATGTCTTCATCTTGACTCTTCAAAATAAAACCCTCATAAATACTTGGTCAAGTGCAGACAACCATAGTTAGGTCTCGTAGAATGTAGGTCTCCTCTAACTTGTCTCTTCCAACTTTTCTCTGTAAATTACCGGTGCTGGAAATGCTAGAAATATTTGTATCGTCAATATCCCTCCCCCTCCCCCTCCCCCTCCCCTAAGTGTGAGGCCAAATAACAGACTCCCAACTTACCCAACGTTGGATGATAAAGAGGTCCACCTAAAGCTTTCATGAACAAATCATCAAGTTGAGCGGAAGAAGGTATAAATGAGAGAAAAATCAATGCATCCAGTAATTTTTCACGAACGAAGTGGCAATCAAGCTCGATGTACTCCGTTCATTCATGAAAGACCGGATTTTTTGCTATGTGAATTACCGCATGATTATCACAGTGAAGAGGAACGGGTAACAATGGCGGAGCATTAAGATCTTGAAGCAATCTAATGACATAAGCAATTTCTCCGACGAGCCGACGCATAGATCTGTATTCAGCCTCAGCCGATGAAAGGGCAACAACATGATGTGTCTTGGATTTCCAAGAGATGGGAGATCCACCCAAGCTGATAAAGAATCCACTCACGGAACGACGGGTGTCGGAGTAAGAAGCCCAGTCAGAATCGCAAAAAAGCCAGAAGGTGTATGGTTTCTCAGGTGAAATAAGCAATCCTATACCAAGATCTTTACAGAGAGATCGAGTGTATGTATAGCAGCCCGATAGTGTCCAGAGCATGGGGCATGCATGTATTGACTGGGTGATTGAACGACAAAAGAAAGGTCTGGCCTTGTAGTGGTCAAAAAGTTTAATTTTCCGATAAGTCTCTTGTATGTAATTGGATTAGGAAGAGGATTTCCACAAGCAGAGCTAAGCTTCAAAGAAGGCTCCAAAGGTGTAGAAGCAGGCCGAGATTCCAAACAATCAAATTCTGTAAATAAATCTAAAGCAAACTTTCTTTGTGTTACGAGT